TAATTTTTATTATATTATAGTTGTTTTTTTTTTGCAATTTTTTTAATCAAATTAAAATTTGTGTAATTCATAAATTAAATTGGAATTTTCGAGTAGGTTCCTGAACGATTATGACATTTTCTAAATGTCCTGCATATTTTAAATGCAAGCATTTTTTCCTTTCGATTTTGTTTTTCAATTAACAAATATTTCATTCGATTATTCGAGAGGCGTATCACACCTCTGTGTAAAGGAGGGGGGAGATATGCTAATGCTATATGTTTTACATTTGATATGAAATTTGAATTTAAAAGGATTCAATTTAAAAGTGTGATTCCTGCAGCTTTTTTCTATGTGGATATTTATGGGAATAAGGTTCCTGTTTGAAATAAAAGTGAGAATTAAAATATTGACAATAAAAATAAATAAAATATTAGAGCACAACAATAAAATTAGAAAAATAATGAAATATAAAATATTGTTTTTATATTTACGAGCAAGTAAATTGTAAATGCAGAAGAGTTTGAAAAAAATACAATAAAATGTCAACACGAAAAATAAACAACAAATACTAAAGATCATGCAAATTTTATGAATAAAAATTTTTAATTAAAAGTGTAAATGCTGTGTAATTGTGTAATGGTAGTGGATTTGATATGGCACAATGGAATTCTTTTGTGTAATGATATATTTGTGGGATTATAGGTATGGCGTGCAAAATGCATGAAAGTCTTTAAAATAGTTTTAAGATTAATTTTACATTGAGAAAATAAAAATTGTCAGTAAATAAATTGTATATATAATAAATAATGAAGCCTCTTTTTTCAAATTATATAATACAAACTGTTTAAAAATAAAATAATAAAAGCATATGTAATGAAACGAGAAATAAACTTATGTCTTTATATAACATTCCAATTTCCTCTGCAAAAATGGTGGAAATGTACATAGAAGCTCTAATGGTTGGTGACTTAACAGCAGCGGTTCGTTATAGAAATCAACATTAAATCATAAAAATGAAACAGAGCATAACTCTAATGATTAATAAATAAAGTACATAAAAGACTTAAGTAAGACCTTTGATAATTGTAAGTGTAAACGCGCTTAATTATTTAAGAAATAAAAACTCCATATCTGTTAATCTCTTAAAGGGTTTTTTCGCTATTAACTTATAGCCAAGTTGCTAAGATGTATGTAGTGACAATTTATATATATATGTAGTGACTTAGCTACTTAACTATAAGTCAATAGCTATAAAACCCTTTAAAAGATAAACAGATATGTAGACTTAATTTTTAAAATAATTAAGCGTGTTTACACTTACAATTGTCAAAGGACTTACTTAATTATTAAAAGATTAACAGATATGTAGATTTAGTTTTTAAAATAATTAATCATGTTTACACTTAAAATTATCAAAACTTATAACCATATTTTTGTGAAGCTTTATAAGGATTCAATATGTAAATGGCAATCCTCATTGCGCATTTGTTGAGTTAATTACGATAGCGTAAATGGACTATTTACTAGCATGCCTAATTAGATTTCACTAAAAATAATTAGATTATACTGATTATAAAGTTCTTTTTTCCTCACAAGCACCTAGCCCGATTTTGACAGTTATATGTTTGAAATTAAAATCAATTAATTTAAAAAAATATTAAAATAATTAAACAAATACACAAAAAAAACTACACATCTTTGAGTTTGTAATCGATTATAGCAAATTATGATAAAAAAATGTTACGAAATTTTTACCGATATATCAAACAAGTTATAGAATAGTGGGCTGTTTTATGGATTAAGTACCCCAACTTCCTCGATTGATGTGTTGTTTCTAATGTTTGGTAAATAAATCATTTACTTTTAATCCTGCAGTAAAATTGTCTTCAATCCCTTCTGTTAAATTATTTATTCATATATATGTCAAGACTTGATTGAGTTAAAAAAAATTATAATATTTGAATTCTAGAAAAACTGCAACTGCTGATATAATAAAAAGCACATTTTTATATAAAGAAAAATAAAGTAGAAAGAAAACTGTTTACTTTTTTAAAATTTTTATACCTGTGGGATATATTTATCAGGGTTCCATTGGGATAAATATGAGCATACATAAAAAATGTTGATAAACTCATTAGTAAGTCTTTACATTGCATTCTAAATATATTTCATTTTTACTTCTGAGTTATTTAAAAACACGTCTTGAAATGTTTTGTATTGATATATTCAAATTTAATGATATGCTGCGTAACATTCTCCATATTTATTGTAGATATATTCATTTTTTTAAAATTTTAACAAATAGTTTTGAAGCAGATTTTTGTTTCATATCGTCCTGTTGCAACTACTTCAATACTTAATAAGTTCGTCACTTTTAAATTTTTTTGTAAATTAAATGAGTTAATTTGTTTTTTTTTTTATTAGTTTTACACATATTTAAGCTGTTAAACGAATATATTACACATTTTATGCATGGATTGGCTATGTAAAATGCATTTATTACATGAAACTGTTAACTACAGAAACATGACAATGTTATTTACAGAAGCATTTTACTTGTAGTTATTTTCTTTTTTTTTACTCTTTTAAGTAGTCTACCATATTAACATTTAAATATACATACATTTAATTTTTATAGCTAATAAATATATATATTTTTTTAATAAATTTAAATAATTTTTTTCTTTAATATATATATAATCAATTATATCTAGAACAAGTCTTTCAAAACAATGATTTTTTTAATGAAATTTCGTATATCAGAATTATTATTATTCATTTAAACAAATTTTTTTATTTGTTATATAGTAACTCTTTTATGCAGTACAAACTAAACTACAAACTAAAAATCGATTATATATTAAAATATTTTTTTTTTCAATTTATATACAACTTTCCTGTATTCGATTCGATGTGGTTACCACTTCCGGTCGAAATCTGTATTCGCTTAGCGATGAAGTTACTGATGGATTATTCGGACTGAGCAAGCTAACTTCCATTGGCTGTGGTGTAGGATGATATGATGATAAGGATGATGTAGTTGTATTATAGGGTGAAATGCCCAAAGGTGGACTACAAGTGGTTATGCCCTTCTTATTTAAGGTGGCATAACTCTGTAAATAGAGTAAAGCAGAGAATAGCAAAAAGCTTCGGTTAGTATGAGAAAATGTATTTGATGAGACAAAAAATTTGTTTTTATGATTTTATAACTGCGATAAGCATTATTATTATCAACAAATTCTATGTGTGTGTAGTACTTATATAAAGTAAGTGTTATTGGTATGAAAGCAATTACTACCGCACCCTGCAGTAAATGGCATTGACCGCTTATGTACCAAAGTAAAACTGCACATTGCTGTACTTTTGTTCATTTATCACCAAAAAAATTAAAAAAAGCATATTGTGTTGTGTTTTTGTTTATAGACTAATACTTGAACGGTTGTATATTCGTCATTGTCCTATTTGTGTACTTAATTTTTCATCTTTATTTTGTGGTGCTGTGGTTACTTGCAGAGCCAGAAAGCCTTTCACATTTCATATAAATTCCCTTAGGCACTCTCAGCCGCATTTATTATGAATGTGCAATGCAAGTTGAACAATGGCTTTGTTTCTATGCATTTACTTATACTTGCGAGCATACAAAGTGCAATGTGCAACTGCACTTTTTTTAATTTCTTTGGTTTTTACATTTAATTTTTCTGTTCCCTTTTTTTTTTTTTTTTTTTGAAAAATTCATTTTGTTACTACTAGTCGAGAAGGTCTTTTCCGTTTATTGTCATACTTACGATTTGTTTACTTGGCCTAAATGTGTAGTGCAGCACCTCATTTCCCATGCCGATGCCGATGCCACTGCTTGCACCTCCAGTGCTGCTCACAATGGAACCCAAACTAGAGACACCATCTGTGCTGCTCAGTGTGGAGCTGTTTGTAATGCCAATAACACTACCGCTGCCGAGTGTACCGCAACGTTCAGCATCGGCTGTGCAGTATTCACGTTGCAACAATCTTGCAGATGGACTACGGAATATTGGGGAAGCTACTAATGACTTCAATGGACGTTTTTCTACAAAAAAAAAAAATTTATTAATTAATTTGTTAAATTTATTATTTTAAGCTAGTTTGGTCTCATATGACCATTTAACAGTGTTCAAGTGTTCAACTGCTAGAGTATTGTTTATAATAATAAATTGATTAATTTTAAAATTACAGATGTACATATACATCTCAGTTGATTTAGAAGGAAATTCAGTCCTCTCCCACTGACGAAAAGTATCTTCTTATAAATCAATGTATAAGATAAGTAATTGAGCAAGGAATTGCCATTACTCGCTGTTATCTATTGTGTTTATGGAAAATAGTCATAAGATACTATGATAACTGGGAATAATTATATAGATGCATAGATCTTATTACATAGATCTTATTTGGATATAGTAAATACTATTTAAAATTAAGATTTATATGTGTATATATTGTATATAATTTTAACAGTCTAATTTAAATTTCCTTCTCTTATTATAAAATAATTATGAATATTTTTTATCAATACTTGCTCGTAACAAAATGATTTAGTAGATACAATCAAAACTATTTTCATAAACCACTGCGTCCATAAATTTCTATGACGTTTAGTAGGTCGTGCATTTATTTTTCTCTTTTAATATCCGAAATCACTGTGGAAAAGTGAAAAACTCGATACCTAAAATTAATGGAAAATTTTAATATTTTTGCAAAATTCTGTCCCTGTCCCTTTATGACCAAATAAAGTAAATTTTATGAATGCTTCGAAACTTAATACTACAAAATATAGACAAAGGCAAAAATATTTATTGTGAAAAAATTGTAAATTTGTATTGATCAGATAGAAATGATTGCCATAATTGTACGATGGTTGAGTGGTCACCTGCATAATAAACAAAACCAGAAATAGCCACAAAGGATTTTGATGTAAAAAATTATTTTTAAATTAAATGAGCAATTTACGGTCACTAAATTGTAACACTCAACTGTTAGGTTTTTATGTGGTTGCAAAATATTAATTGTTGGTAATCAAAATCATTCATAGAAACAAATTAAAAATGACATGACATTAGTTATGTCACGTTGGCTATTACGTATTGTATAACAGGTGGGAATAGGAGTGAGGAACTTGTAACGATGACAATTTTTTATATTGGTTGAACTTCACATATTCCCAAACTAAATGCATATGTTAACGGACGTTACTAGCTTTTAAGGGTGATAGCCAATAACCATGTGATCTTTTTATGTACTGGTATTAAGAGCATTATAAATTCTTGCTCCTATAAGTAAGAAGAGTCTATTTCGAATCTACGGCAACTAGAAATTGTTCGCAACCTACCTTGAATCAGATATATACACACAAATAAAAATCGGTATACTCCAATTGAAGGTTATACTTGTAAGGGTAACGAGGAGTCTGCTTTAAAAGTTTTTGTGGCCGATCAAGTGACATCAAGGACGACTATTTCTGCTGCGGATAGGTTGCATAAATCAGTATGCTTGAAGGCTTGAAACATTTACTAGCACACTTCAGAAAGAATCAGAGATTTCGAAGACGTTACAACTACGAATGATATACAATCTACCTTGGAACATATGTGTATAGTCATAAAAATAAAATTTGGTGAACTATAGTGGGTAATATTTTTTATGAGTTAAGAGGAGTCTAATAAAAAATCCTTTGTGACAAATTTTATGTTGAATCGCGCCTGTTGAATCGTGCTTTTAAAGCTTATACGCGCCTAACTAAATGACATTCACTTACAATGGAAAGCTATCGATAGACACGTTGAATACGGATATATTTTATATAATTGTCCATTTTATTTTTCATATGTTTTATTTTTTGTATAGAAATATAGAAACATATTAAGTAACTATTGCATTATGTCGTCATATAAGTTACATATAGACTATAGCAATTTCTTTTTTCCGTAAACCACAAGTTTTATCATTCCACAAAAACATATTAATTATTATACTAAAATTTTTTCAATAAATGTAACATTATTAAATTCATCTTCACTTTATCTTCATACTAGCGAGCTACTCATAATCTATTTATTGAATCACATAAGGAAGAAAGATGTAGTGAAAACTTAATGCATGCATTAGGAAAACAATTTATTGGTGACGTGAGAGAAAACTATCCTAACATATCTATTCTAATATTAAATAACTATAAGTGTTTTTGATTATTACTGGGCTTAGGTCGACCTTAGCCCTTAGGATAGAATTGATATTTATAACAATTTATTTAAGAAGTATATTTTTTTTAGTGGAATATTGTACTATTTTTCCCTCTTTTTGCGCGATTATAAATTTTAGATTAATATACTTATTATTACATAGAACCAGTCAATCTATCAGAATTATTATATTTTCGTCCTAAAAATATGCAATTTAAATTATTGTTTTTATTCTACTTTAGATTGATTTATGTTCACTCGCACATACTGCATATAAATATTATTAGAGGAGGAGGAAATTTTTCATATGGGAAGTGAACCCAACAC